CGATTTGTGATATTTTCCAGCAACAATTTAAAAAAAAAATATATTTTATATAAGAATGATAAAAATTAAAAATCATTCAATTATCTACTTGTTTGTAATCAAATTAGTAATATTGGTCATTCTGTTACTCTTAATCCATGATTGTACTTACGGTCTTATAATAACGTGATAAGAATGATTTCTAATAATAATTCTATTTTATTTTTACTTTTATATTGTTTATTATTTTAACTTTAATGTCTGACGATCTAGTTAAATTTTTAATATTCATTTTTATTTTTTAAAATGCCGAAAATTAACAAAAGTTTAAAATATTCATATACCTATAATTGTTTTGTATTTTTTATAATTAAATAATGTAACCAAAAAGGAATGGTACATAAGTTATTTATTGTTTTTATTGAATTATTTTGGAAAAAAAAACAAATCATATTATCTGCATATTTACAAGTTTAAGGAATATTTAGAGAATATTTTAGGATTTTTTTAGAACATATTAGCATCATATTTTAAGTTTTTAAGAACCTAAAAATCCACTCTTTACTTATAACCTTTACGTATAATAAAGTTAAAACTTAAAATAATAAAATCATAAACTATACCTATAGGTACTATATATTTATATCTTATACCTACTAGTAAATATTTTCATGATTTAATTAAATAAATATATTGGAATTTTTTCCAATTTTTATCTGTAGGTATGTATTGCATATAAAGTGAATTTACTTTTTACTCGCATGTTATTAGTTAAAAAATAATTTCTCTGACTGTATTTATTATTTAGAAATTCTTAAATTTCAAGTAATAAAATTAAGTAAAACACGATTCCGTACGTTTTGTACCCAAGACTTTAGTGTAATGTTGCCAGATTTTAAAAGGTTACAAATGTATTTAACTTAGTTATAAGTACATTTTTTGTACGTAACTATTATTGGAACATTTACATATCTAACGTACAACAGCTATATCTTATTTTTATTATCCCCGTTGTACGTTATACATTTAACCTATTCGCCAGTCTATAATCCACGTCATTTTGTGTAAAGTGCTATGTGTTATAGAATTCAAATTTTTAAATAATTAATATGAAAAACCAAGTGAAGTTTATTATTTCAGAAAAACGAAAATCACTTAAATTACTTAATTTACATATATATCGGCTTGTAAGAACACGAAAAGATGGTTTTAAAAAATGGTTATGTAATACAAAAATTACGCTACTTTAGTATTGTATCAAACGGAAATTTAATCCATCAAACATCAAATTAACATAATTATTGTGAAAATGTAATCCAAAGTTTCAAAAGACAACTTTTGAAAGAAAACTGTATACATTTTGAGTTTTAAAATACCCTAAGCTTGAACTTAAAACCTTTTTGGAAACACCAATAATATTTCAGCCAAATATCAATAAATTATCAATACGTCCATGCATAATAAGTTAAATATAAAAACATCACCATTAAAAAAAAATCCACCCAATTCCTTCACTTGTTTAGGTGCACAATTACCAAGTGCTGTACCAATCAACATAAATGTTTCATAGTTATAACATTAATCATAACTTAACACTTCAATGTATGTTTCATATACTATGATTTTCAATTATAATACAAGTACAAATTGGTTGCAGTGGTGACACATTGAAATATCTGCAATCAAAATGTTAACAGACTTTTTTACATGAAACTACGTACCACTTTGAAATTTTTACAGATAACATATTTTTATAGAATTAATAAAACGTTCAAATTGTGTGAAGGTGAACATTGGCTAATGGATATATTTATAAGTGAATTATTATAATTTTACAATTTCTATGTAAAATATTCAAGTCATTTTTGATTAGAATAAAATAACTAAAACGTTGTGTTATTTTTTATAAAAAATTTCATTTTATTTATTTTATTACTTTAATAAGCCTTTATAAGTACAGAAAACTATTTATTTTTTGTATATTATTATATATTAGATTGTCTCAATGACAACTATTTAAATCTGAATAATATGTATAAAGATTTCAAAAATTGATGAACGTGACAGTTAAATGTTCATAACCTTAAATCATCACTTAAGAGACTTGGGTACCTAACTACTAGAACGAATATGTCACAAAATACAAATTATGTTAAGTACAGAAAAAAATGTAAAAGAGTAAATATAGTTTACAAAAATACGTTGTTAAAGTAGTTATTATATATGAAATAAGTATTAATTAGTTAATGTTTTGATACCAATATAAATTACATATTTATTTCCATATGAATAAAGGTAACCAGGCTGTAAGCTTAAAAAAATAAAAAATAAATATTTAATATGAATTACAAAGTAATAGTTATGTGGTAGTGAGCATATAGAATCTGTGATCTATACGTTTACAATTTTAGCACTTCTGAAATTTGAATTTTAGTTGTAAATAGATAACAATAATATAACAAAATATATTCATTGAAATCCAATTAAATTTATTCGTTTCAAAATATATGAGTATATTAATTAAAATAAAATAATAGGTGTAAACGGAACTTGTGCGAATAATTGACGTAATTGTTTCACTCTTCAGCTGTAGCAGTCCTCGTAACGAGTATAAAATTATGATGCATAATATAATTTACCCAGTATGCAATGAGTAAAGAAAGTACAACTCGTCATCATTTAACTACACGGCGATAATATATTATTTTGTACCTACACCAAATCCCTAAGTTAATCAGAACTAAACTTTGCGACGATGTCTTCTAACAACGGTTTTCCCCGGCGGCCAGCGGACTTTTAATTATGTATCGCAGCGCATTAATGTCTCATGACTTGTCTTTGAACGGAGGATGGAAATAATTTGTTTATTTTTAATTTCAGCGATCGTCTTAAGCATACATAATACGGAAAGGTATACAATAAATTAGGTATATATTCCTTTCTAACTCGTCAGATACAATGATAGTTTAAATAATAAATCTTTCGATAGATAACCAGGTGGATATAGAGTTTAAGTACCTAAAAATAGGTAACCAAATGCTTATAATTTATACCGTATCAAGATCAGTTAAGGTCGCAGGCTTTCTAAGGATGGCTGACCGAACCATGTACATTTATAAGCTTTTTATTGAGATGGTATTATAAAAATTACCATTAAAATAAATCTATTATTTTGGCATATTATAATAAACTTATAAAATTATTGTAGATTTGGGTTGTGACTAATAAACAATAATGAAAATTTTAAATTTAATTTAGTCCGGCACTGATGTTTATAACTTTTAATATTATACAAGATAATAAGGATTATAATTGCATTTAATGCGATGTCACCAACGCATGAACCGCGTGGTGTTATAAAATATATATATAGTAATTTTTAATTAACATATTACGCAATAGGACAACTATAGACCCGAAATCTTAAGAGGTTTTGGCTAAACTTTTATCTGAAAAGTGGCACATGGAGATTTTCCCCCTAATATATATGATATTAAAAATACATTTTATTACAATACACAGAAGTTCTTTTTTAAGATCTAGCTTTTTAGCCTTTAGAAAGAAATTACTCAAATGTTAGTCTCAATTACTTATTTGTGCATGAAAGACTTTCTGCAAATAGTAGAAATTTAAAAACTCACAAATATCTTGTAATTAAAACAATAAATAAGCTAATTAATGAATAAATTAGATCTATCAAACAACCTAATTAATTTTAATTTTACATGTGCGATATGCTAATTAATACCTATATTGGCTAATTGTATTATAATAATTTACAATATAGATAAATTAATTTAAGATTTTCAAAAAGAAAATGTTTACATCCATAATTTTTATTTTTTGGTAGGGCCGGTAGGGGGTGTTAATTATTTCAGGAGAGCTTAGCCCTCTCTAGTCTACTTCTAGTAGGGTCGATTAACTCTGTTTTCCATTGAACCGGACACCCCCAAGTATACCTCTGGCAATAATCAGGCCCTATTATTTGTAAAATTTCAGACTGCACACTTAATTTTACTGCTTTAAACGGAAATTTGATTCTCGTTACTGTCTTGGAAAAAGAAATGTATTACATGTATATATAATAATAATTTAATACAACAACAAAATACTTTTGACTGATAACAATGTTTGAAAATTTAAATTTAGTATAATTTAAATTTAAAAAATTTAGGAAATACTTATGTTTTCTAGTAGTTGGCATTTATTTAATTTTTGTTTTATAGACTGTAGTGCACACTCGTACATTCATGGTGCACATTGTGTGTCGTAATACACATAAAAATAAGGCTTGGCAATAACATAATTAATGAAATGATACCTACATTTAAAGTTATCATAACAATCTATAAATATAATTATTAATCAATAGTAAGATTTTACAAAACTAAAATATCTAATATTTTATAAAAAAAAATCCTTTTTTTCTAATAAGTACAAGAGTATAAAACTATTTTTATTTAACTATCATAATAAATAGTAATTTGAAATAATATTAATATTATAACAGGTATATATATTCTTATAAAATAAAGTGTTTTAAACACTTAAACACCTATGACATAGTACACACGTACCTATGTATAAATTATAATTAAGTATGGATAAATTCTAGGGCTGTCCCCTTAGCTTTACTGTAAATCCCTCTGCTTCGTTAATTTGACTTATTAGTTATTCGTAAAAGTGGGAGGCGTTAGTTGACAAATACAACGGATTACAAGCCACTCATATCATATAAATATTATATCTAAAATCGTAAACAAATCGCCGTCATAAGTATATATCGTATCACCGACGATACGCGTTCAACAGTTGCGTGTGGTGTTATGGACAGCTGATGTGCGTCCGTCTGTTAATATTTTTCCGAATACACTACACTATCGAAAATTAGGTATCTACTAACAGCAGAGAGGCTTTAAATTATAAGTACAAGTATATACGTGTGACTTGTACCTACAGACTACGATTGTCAATACAATTTTCCTTCGTTTCCCTCCTTACTAAATTTCATGGACACTTACGTCAAATGTCTGGCATATTCTCGTGATCCCGCCAGCGGTGACGTCCCGACGATGGTGTGCGAGTCCGAAAATTATGCGAGCGCGGACGACATTATATGCCGCGTTAGCAGCCATAGCGACCGCGAGTCGTACAGCCCAACTAAAGCGAAATTACGAACTGCGTCTTCCCGCCGCCTGTGCGAGACGCATAGTTGGTCCCGCCCCCTCCCCCTGTGTAAACATCACCGCCATGAACGGTCCGCGTGCGCGTGATAGTATGGTCAGTTGCCGTTGCGAGTTTGTCGACCGTTGTCGTGGTTGTCGTGATAAAACCATAATCGTCAGTGCAGCCGTGACCCAGGACATCGCGCGGTCAATTGTACATGCACTGTTTCAACAAACAGCTGATTCGACGTTCGACTTTTTCGCGATATTATGATCAATGATATTGATAGCAGCTAGCCGTACGACATACGTCGTCTTGACTTAATTTTGAGTTTTGATATATTTTCGTTCGTGTTTTGTCACTGTTTTTCACACGTTCCCAATCCGTACGAATAAATCGTAAGTACAATAAATTTATATTAAGTACCGTAATAAACCATACAGCGTACTTATATTTTTGCTCTATTACGCTTCGTTGTGTGTACTACGAGATCTACGAAAACGGGTGATGAGTCTTGACGACCTAGACAATCTCGTCAGAAGGTCTCGGTCGTCGAATGTCTTCTCCAATTTTTATATTAAAAATTATTTTTCTTTTTATTGAAATCCATAATTGTACAGAATGCGATCTTCATATTATTAACCTTATTAAGTTGATATTTCTATCATCCAGTAAACAGTATACTATTTATAAGTTATGATATTTGGCTAATATCATAAATATTTTTATTTTTTTTTTTAACAACAATAATGTATATTAATTCATATTTGTTAATTCCAGAATATGGGTGGAGATTTAGGAAATCTTAAAAGTGACATCCGTGGAGTAATTACTACCAAATTGTCTCCATTTGAGCAAAAAGCATTCAAAGGAATTATTTCTCACGGAGTTCCCAATTCCATTAAAAGGGTAGCCTCTAATTTGCCATACATAGTTCCACCAATGATTGTTGGTTATCTCGTCTACGATTGGGCTGTTCATGCACATCATGAAAGTTTGAGGAAGAATCCTGCTGACTTTGCCAACGATAAATAACTTTTTTTTTAAATTCTATTGTAAAAGTTAATCATCTTAAATTGTTAGGTATAGAAAAAAATTTATTTGTCAATCGTGATTATTTATAAAGCAACAGTAAAAATGTAATTTAAATGTTTTTATTTGTTATATAGCTAATATAAACTAAATCATTAAATGAATGAAAAAGCACATAATTTTTATTTATTTATATTATACTTAGAAGTTAAAATTATAATTATTGTTAAATCTACAAACAATAATTATATGTATAGTAAATACTCAGCATAAATACTGGGTTATTCAAAACAATTCATCTCATTTCAAATGATTAAATATTTTTAGTGTTCAGGTTTAATATAATATATGATACATTAAATAAAAAAATAATATTTTAATTCATGTAATGGTACCAATAAATAAATGTTCTCTTTGGCTTCCTTTAATCACACAAATAACTAGTTAGAACTCTAATTCACTCCGTACTTATCTGTTATAAATTACTGCTCTAATTTATAACTCTTTTAGGTTGATTATAATAATGATAAATGTACCTAAAGTATCTTTAACATATTCCTATAATACGTAGTCAAATGGCGTAAGATCAGGTGATCCAAGTCAGGTACAAAGTATTGAATGATACATTTTGAAAAGTCCTGCATTGCAGAATTTTTATGTTTTAATATTGTATTTATAAATATATTTTGAAGTTTAAATTGAGATCTTTCAGATGCTATGGAATATTTTTGATAAATAAAAGTTGATAAAAATATACTCTACAGTTATACACTATATTAATAATTCAAAGCTAACATTTTTTCTAATTTGTTCAACTCGTAAGTAAAGCTAATGTAGAAAAATATAATACGAGTTTAAATTCAAAAGTTATTGTTCTTTCTTTTTGATTTGGAAAAATTATTATTATAAGTCAAATAAAAAAAAAAAATAACTGAATCAGTAAAAAGTTAAAAATTAGTTATATGTACTTACCAATGCAAATATAGCAGTTTTAAATTAAAATTAAATTTAAAGGTGTCAGATCATTGTGATACATCCTATGTCCTTATACCTATAGTATATACTACCTACACAGTATATTTACATTATACGTATATAAAATTAAACAGCATAGTAAAATTTATTGTTATACAAACATTCTGTATTTTAAATTATATAATTCAATTTTTGCCTCATCAGAAAAATTAGGAAACCATTTTTTGTGGATTATTCTCATATAGTATTATTAATTATTTTATTCAATGAATACTTGGGTGAAGCTATAAACATATTTAGTAGAATTTAGCTCTCCTTTCATAAGTTATAATCTAGTTGTATCTATCATATAATTATAATTTTAACATTTTTAAATACAATTGGACATTTATTTATGAATCAGATTTATAGTATATACTAAAAAAATATAAATATTTTAAAATATTAAGCTAGGCAATTTTAATGAAATTTCGGAAAGAATTAAAATGTTTAATCTCAAAATAAATACATTATTTAAATACTATTTTGAAGTATTTTGAAAGTAGTTTCATGTTAGTACTAGCAATGGTTATTGTATAATAATGAGATTATATTAAAAAATAATTTTGCGCAATACAAATGTACAAGTACATTATTTATATAAAATTTACCAATTGTTTACACTAACTATACAGAACTCAACAGGAAAATTATGTTGTACCATTTTTATTTTTTTATATCAATACTCAATAATTTTTAATTAAAAAAATAATTTAAACTATCTTAAGTTATTAAAAAATAAAATAATGCTATCCTTATGTATGGAACATTACTGTGATACACATCTTTAAAAAAAATGTAATCTCATTGTATAGATCCTTTATTCCAAACTATTAAGGTTTCTTGCTCTCATTCATAAAATTTTAATTTTCTTAAAATTTAAATAGTATATCTAAACATTTTATATTTAAAAAACTTCCATTACCTACATTTCATAACTCATATTTCAAATTTATTTACATTCCTACATTTTTAATAATTAACTATTAAAACATTACCAATTATCTAAGTAGGTATCTAGATACTAATACAAAACCTATAACTGTACACAAATCTTAAAAAGTGAAAATATAAATAAATAAATACTAAAATAGGTAATTCTAAGTTTGAATAATTTGTCTAGGCAATACATTATTTTATACATAAGTTGATTGATAAATATTCTGCATATTATGTAGGTATGAGCATGTACGAGTACCTACACAAATTACTTTACGTTAAAGGTATAGATTGTATATATATTTTTTATTAAACTCTGTAAGTTTTTTATGAAAGCTTGATTGAGTTTTTGGTTTATGTTCCAAATGTAATATGCTATAAGCTCATATCTCATTTTATTTTTTTATATTCTTAAACATTTACCTGTTAACTGTACAATATAATACAGGTAAATTATTGATTTCTTACATTTTAAAAGTTAGCAATCAGTATCTACTTGTATATTATTATCATATCAATAAATATTTTACTACAAGAACTTCAACAGAGAAAAAATAGTAAGTAAAAAAATTTCTATTCTATAGATTAGGAAAGAGGTAGATGTGTATTTGTTATAAATTATAATATATTAAGCTTAACACATACATAATTATGATATCAAGATAATTGTATTTGTTTGTATACTAAAATAATATAAACTATATTGGCCTAGTACACTATATGCTATAATTATTTCTGTTGCTATGGGTGAAAAAAATCAATAATAATAGACAACATATAAGAATTTTGTTTTTCAAAAGTAATATTTATATATAACTGTAAACTATACATAACTATTAATATTTTATTATATTATTAAATCTTATGTTTATTGCATAACTGTAATATAACTGTAGTTGGACATTTTGTAATCATATCCAATGAATAAAGATCAGAGTGAGTCAGTTTTACGTTCTAATGATGGTCCATATTCCGAGTATGTGTAAATTATCACATGCAAGTATAACTGATATGTAAATTGTTATTATTTATTCTCTGCTTAGAGAAATTATTGGGCAGTACACTATGGAATTACCTGTATTTAGTAATAAAAAAATAACCAGTACTCAGAACCAACAACGTAAAAAGAAAAAAGTTTTAAAACCAATACGTATGCATACATTGTCGGCCACCAGAAGAAGACAATGTAAGTTAATTATTTAACTTTAGTTGTAATATTTGTAAAAATTATTCAGTAATATTTTAATAGGTGTATCAAATTCACCATATCTAACTACTTATACTAGCAATACTGGAGTCAGATCAAATTCATCAAATGTCAATAATTTACTTATTAACGACCATATATTACGGATCAAAAAATTAGAGAATGAATTGATTGAAGCACACATGAAAACACGTGTGAGTTAATTTGAAATATAACCACAGTTAAATCAATAATTAATATTTATGTAAATAATTTAGGAATTAATTGTAGAAAACCGTTTATTGAAAACATTGGGAAAACGACACGAAAATGCATTATCTATGTATGAAGGTAAACAAGCCAAGCTTCCACAGACAATTAAATCATATGAAGAGGAAATACGCACATTAAAAAGCCAAATACGTCATATTAAAATTTCATTTAAAGAAATGGAAAATAGATACAAGTCACAGAATATTGAATTAATAACTTTACAAAAACAGTACAAACACCTTTTAGGTTTATCTCAAAATAAAGAGCTCAGTAAAAAAGAAAATCTATCAGATAAATTAGAAAAAGCACAGAGTACAATAAAAAAACAAGATGAAAAAATTTTGGTAAATCTTTATTTTGTCCAATAATTAATAAATAGTTTAAAATATTTTTTTTTTTAATTTATATTTTAGAATATTATAAAAAAATTAGAACTTCAGAATAAATCTCATAGATATCATATAAATGTAGAAAATAATAAAATCAAAGAATTACAACATGAAGTTAAGCGTTTGGAAGATGAAAACAAAAATCTAAAATCATGTTTAGATAAACTTAAAAATAAAAGTTATAGTTCGAGACAAAGTTTTACAAAAGGCATAACTGAAGATTCAATAAGCATAACATCTCGGTAAGTAAATCTAATATTTTTTGCAAACCTTAATACATTTACAAATTAAATAGTGTATTGAAGCCTATACCAACAATACATGATGGACAAGGTGATATAATAAATGAATCTTTTTACGAAACTAATGGGTCGATATCCCTCAAATCAGAAAAACTTCATGAAGATCAGGAAGAGAATAGTAGATTTTCATTTTCAATGAAAAACAATAAAGAATCATTCATATCATCAACACCAAATAGTATGTCTTGGATGGACAATGATCAGACCAATTCGACAAAAGTAAATACTTAAGAGATACTTAGTTTAACAATCATGGTATCAAAAGAAGGTAACTTATAAAAAAAAAAAAATCATAATAAACAATTTACATATTATGAGTGAAACCACTCAAAAACCATAAATTTAAATGAACTCAAAATTAGCTTTCAAACATTTGTATTATGGGGAAGGGGAAGAATAAGGGACTTATAATAATAATAAAAATATACATTTGATCAAATTTGAAATAGTTCTTTGTAATTTATAAGTTATCTCTCATACAGTGTTAAAGCAAAGTACAGTAAATAAATTTAATATTGATTGAATTTTAGGAAAATCAATCAAAACTATTAAAAACTGTAAAAAATGATATCGAAAATAAAACTAAAAATACAGCTTCAATAAATCAAATACCAAGAACAACCTCTATGTCTAGATCACAAAAAGATATGCTCTTAGCAAAATTAAATCAAGTCAGTGAGGATGAAGACAACTATGAAAACTATTATAAATCTAAACTACTACAACAGCCAATCAATAAGAAATACTCATCGTATGATTCTGATTCTGACAATGTGAGTGATGAATCTTCCAACAGTAATAGTTTGCAGGAATAATGGAGAATTGACTAAATGTTTTACACTTGAATTGTTAATAATAAATAAACTATTTTATGTTTCATACTATTTTACTAAACTTTCTTCGTTTTTAGATGTTTTTACATAGTCTGCCAATAATTTTGTGAATTTTTCTTCTAATTTTCTTATCTCTTCAATACAAGACTGAAACTGAAAGTTCAAGTATTCATGTAAATATATAATAATATATTTCATACCTTTGTGATGAAAAATTATAAAATAGTTATTATAGGTACCTCTCTTTCAGCGGAGTAAAGTTTTTCAGACATACTATTTAATACAGTATTTGCTTCTACAGTATAAGACATAAGCGTATTTGACCTTCCTAACTGTAACGCACAGTCCATAGCACTAACAGAATCCTTTAAATTATGATAAATGATTTGTATTAAATGATAAAAGTATATGAAAATTACAAGTATACTAACCAAATAAAACGATTTTGCATTTGTAATATCATATCGAGACTCCATAAAATCATCTTCTGATTTATCATCGAACAAATCATTGTGTTCCATTAAGTCCATACTTTTAATTAGTTCATTTCTTTTGAGAAAAAAAAAATTAAATAGTGATATTATAATATTAATAATTCTATAATCCAAGGATGGTGACCTAATAGTCCGAGTAACTTTCTATCTAGACCGCACTATGTCTTAAAATTTTGGAATTAAATAAGAATAATTATAAGTGAGAAAAACTTATTCAAGAACATTCCAACCTATAGGACTTCTAAATTTTAAAAACTATCACTTTGATAAGTTTAAGACAAGTTGTATAACGCTGCTATATTACTATAGACCATAGTAAGAGGTACCTACTTATATTTTTGTGATGCTTCATTGAGTGCAACTAGTGCTATTGTAATCATTTGACAAGAACTGTTTACTGATATAGTACATGTTTGTTGTAACAAATATTTGTGGGTCAGTTCTTCAGCTATTTGATTTAATTCTATGACAATTGGTTGTTCAACTTTATCAGGGTTAGAGGCTTTTGTTTGACAATAGGCTACTCCTATAGCTAAACGACGCCAGCCAAGTAATCTGGAACACTTATTCTAATCAAATAATTAATTTATTGAAAACAAAAAATAATAATAATATAATAAATAAAAAAAATTACCATTATAAATGGACTATAAAAAAAATTCAAGACCTATTGATTTGTCAATGTCCTGTGATGCTGGTAAAATTAATTAGATGTACTAACACAATCTAAATAAAAAAATATCTATGGTTAATATCTTAACCATAGATATTTAAACAATAAATTATTTTATATATTTGTGTATTAACATGTAATGTGTCTTGATACAAATTATAATGCATCACAAATCACAATGCCACATTACGAATTTAAATGGCATAATATTTTAAGCATTTTGAATTTTATTTTTTATTTTATTACCAGTTAGTATTTATTACATATATATGAGAATTAATAATTACCTATTCAAAATATTTATGTAACATTTTTGTTGATAATTAATATCACAAAATAACTGGTGTTGCGCGATAAGGCAAATGTGATAAAAATTAAAAAGAAATTCACTCGAACAGCAGCTGATAACCACAACTTAATACTTATAGAGTCAACTATAAAGTATGATATTAAATAGTGAATAGTGAATATTTAATACAGTCCTAAGGCCCTTGAATGAATAAGAAATATATACTATATAGGCTATAAACCTAATAATTATGGCCCTTGCCCCTTACTGCTTACATAGAAGTCAGCGATAGACTCTTTAATATTACTTATATCATATTATATTATTTATATATACTTTTATTTTGTATAAAATACTATTATACATATCTTTGAAGTGTGCTCACGATTTCACATTTCATCGACGGATGCGTTAAGAAAATTCAAAAAAAAATCATTACAAGAGTGTTTAAAATTATGTTATAGTATAATAAACAATAGGCATAATGGGTAGTTCAAGTTAAGAAGAATACAATATTTAGGACCTATAATAAATTAATGGTCTACGGGTATTAAAGGTAGGTTATTAATAATAGAAAAACAGTGTAATAAATTATTTATAAACTTAAATTTAATATAATTACCATATAAACTAATAAATAATTTAATTTGATGCGTTTTTCTAATAATATAGAAGTCTATACTTGTTACTTAAATAGTATGTTGAATTGTTTTTAATTAATGATGTAACGATTAAAAAAAAATACATTTATCAAATTCTTTAAAAAAAAAAAAAAATAAAATAACTAGATATAGTCCTTACTCATACGTCATTTGTAGACCTTAAGTATTGATTGTATGAATAAATTAATAAACTAATTATAAGTTAGGCTATAAATTAAACTGTTTTATATATGTAAAATATTTACCTATAAATAAAGTGGTATATTTTAGAGTTTTACGTGTAATAAAAAATATTTATTTTGCGTGATTTTTTTCAAAAAGTATTATAAAGTTCTTACATTTTTGATATTTGTAAACAAAATTTTACATTTTTATAATTTTATGCAAAATATTTTGTATTTTTTTTTTTTGTAATTTTTTTTTTATTTTTTTTTTTTTACATATTTTATGGTGTTATAATGAATTGAATTCATAGCCCTATACTTATAACTTATAAGCATAAAAAAATAAAGTGATATTATTTTTCGTGGGCGTATAGACTATGGAGTGATGACATACTAGCTATTATAGAACTCTATTCCTGAGAGCTAGGTATTGACCATTTATTTATCAAACGATACTTCTTTACTCATTTCGATCTTTATATAAAAATAATATACACGATATACATAAATATGTTTGTGTGTGTGTGTGTGTATTATGTATAACTGAATGAGGCGATGATTTATATGGTACCTACATAAATAATTTACATCAATGTCTTTCTATTCTAAACGACTAGCGAGTATCGACTATAGTCAATAAAGTTGCGTAGGTACGACGGAAAATGTATTAATTTATCTTAAACAATGCTAAATGAGATTTATTAGTTATCTGAAAAATGTGCAATATCGACTGACTTATATATAGTTATAATAAATAATAAATACATTATAAATATATAATGTAATATTTAATATATAACAACTTATTAAACAGTTAGTCGGTTACACCTATACGGCCAGTTATGTCAATTCGTCTGTTAGAATCGTAAGTGTTTCATCAAGCGTTAATCAAGTTAGTATAATATCCTAGACCAGTGGATCCCAAACTTTTTTGGTTCATGCATCTCCAAAAATAAAAAAAATTTATCGCGCCTCCCTCGAACGAATAAAACAAAAATTGTTGTTAATATATAGTATTGTATTAATACTTATAGTGAATATGTACAATATCAATGTTTACATCGCACCTCCCGGCTCCCCTGTTAAATACTTGTGCCTCACAGTTTGAAAACCGCTGTTCTAGACTACGTACAGTTTTTTCGTTGTAAAAAATTTAATTAAAAACGCCTTTGCATATTTTTAGAACACGTATTATAATTTTTAAGGACATAAATGCATGCGTATTTAAAAATTTTTATAGAGCATGAAATCTTTAGCCCTAATAATAAATAATACATGACGTAAACAAGTATAAAAGTATACTTTTATTCATATATTAAACATAAAAAAACATTACAATATTTTTTTTTTTATTTACTTATTAATATATATATATATATATAAACACATTAAATCTTCACAATAACAAATAGTAATTATATATTAGTAAGTATAAAAATGCATATTGATTTTTTTTTGGCACACGAATATAAGTCTTTTGGCAAATTAATATATTATTATGGGTAGGGTTGCACCTGTACATTGCAACATAGTCAATATACATCGTAAGATTAACTAGATTAAGTAATAGTTTATGCGACCATATAGTTTTGTATATAGTTATTTGGCGTATAAAAATTGAAAAATTTCGTAATAAAATAAAAAAAACAAACGTCAACAACAAAAATAATAAAATGCGTACACATTATACAATATATCAAGAAACAAAAACCGAAACCGAATCCGTAGGTATATTTACCAGATTCGATTACTGTTGCACGCTGCAGGGTATACGGTAATAATTTTGTCTAAATGATGGTACAATAACAATAATGATAATAATAATAATAATAATAATAATAATACACAGATAGAGTTTGCTGAGGGTCGGTAACTGGTAACTACACACGAAAACGTTGTCAACGTCCTTCTGCATTCGCCGGCGACGACGGTCGTGCGCCATCGACGAATGCATCACCACCGCCGACGTCCGCCGATCCATCGCCGACCGGTGCAGCGTTTTCTGACCGACGTTGCAACAGCGGCACGAGCGCCTGTCGTAGCCGTTCTACGACCCGTGGAAGCGCCACGTTCACCAGATCGGCGCGGTCCATGCGGCGGACGGCGTCGTTGGACGTGTCGTCCGGCCGCGCCTGCATTCCCGCGACGCGATCGTCGCCGCCGTTGAGTTCTCTCCGTTCGTACGCCACTATGCGTTCTCGGAGACGGGTGAGCAGCATCAGTTGTTGCTGTTGCTGTTGTTCCGCGCCGTCCGGCTGATCTCGCTGCTGATGACCTTCGCCGTCGTCGTCGTCCGAAATCGACCGCATGCACAGGAGCGGCGGCAACAGGTCGGCGACGCGACCGCGGTCCGTTCCGGCTGCCCGCCTGTGCGGTTCGGGTGAACCGCTCGGCAGGTCAGAGTCCGAGAAGTCGGGCGACGGAATTCTAGGGCCACCGTCGCCTTTTCCCCGATCGCCCGACCGCGTGCCGCGTTGCAGTTTCAGTAGCATGTCGTATAGTCGACCGTTTTCACGCCGCCGAGTGTCCAGTTCGCGACGCAACAGTTGCAACTGGTGTTCGCCACCGCCGCTGTCGCCGTCGCTGCAGCCGTGGTCGAGTGCCTGCACGTTTCCGTCGCCGCACTGGACTTGTGCGTCCGTCACGGACGGCGGCCTCAAGTGATGTGCTGCAGCCGACTCCGCGTCCACGATTCCACTACAACGACCGCAAGTCGAACATCGGCGTGGTGGCCTGCACCGTCGCCTTCTATGCAAACCACCGCCGCCGCTTACGGTCCGACTTTGTGTGGTGTGTGACGTAGCGGCAGTCGTTGTCGCAATAACGCCATCGCTGCAGTTTGAATCGTTTGCTTCGTCTTCGGCAGCAGACTCGGTTGATGACGAGGACGTCGACGTGGAGACTGCGATCGTTTCGCCAACGCTCTTGTTTGGCTGTTTCAGTTGTCGGTGATGTGGTCGACAGTGTCGTTTCCGCGCGCTCGCCGATGACACCGGAGCGCCGATTGCACCTAACCGTACCGGCTCTTCGTCGCCGCTGCAGTCGTTTGAATCCGCGGCCTCCTCTTTCGACGACGACGAAGTGTTCATCTCTACGGAGTCTCCATCGTCGTCTTCTTCGTCGCAGCTGAAGAAAAAGTTCACTTCCGAGTAGTCCGGCAACACTGGCGGCGGCGTCGTGATTGTAACTACTGTTGGTGGTGATTTCCGATGGTTCTGTGCTTCCGGGTCGGCTGTTGATGTTGTTCCAATGGGTGTTTCTGCGGACAACCGTTTTACTAGGATTCCTTTGGTCACCGGCAGCGGAGCAGCCGACGCGGTTTTCGAACTGAACTGCTGCAGACAATGTTGTTGCAGCGGAGCTGCATTTGCTGCCACCACCTCAGTCGGTCTCCTGTCACTTTGCGTGGTAGCGTTCGCCACTTGGGTCACATACCTTTGTTGTTCGAGTTTGCCAATCTGTCGATTCCGGGCCCACAGTTCCGTGTTGACTAGCTGTTGTAGTGACCGCTCCAGCCGCCTGCACCGTCCTCGCAAACGAGACACTTCGGAACCGGCATTTTCGTCGTCCTCGACCGTGGTCTTGAGCGGTGTGGATGACGACGGTGTCTGCAGAGGTGAAGGCGAACGCAGAACGTTCTGTCTCGTCGCCGAGCTCTCCGCAGACACTGCCACCTGCGCTTTGCACGACGTCTCGGAATCCGTCGTTGACGCGTCATGAAATTCATCGTCATCGTCGTCGAGTTCATCAGTCTTTTCTTCTTTCTATACACACGAACAGAAAAATTTTCAAAAATCATGATAAATAAAAATATATAGTATATATATATATATATATATATCATATATATGGTACATCGTAGAATAATGTTTTTATTTTTTACCGGGTCTTCTACGGCGTATTTCTCGATGTGCTTTCGCAGTCGCCGCCACCGTCTTTTGTCATCGGCAGACACGGACACCGCTTTGGCTGACACCGTGGCTGCAAGTAGTGCGAGCAATCTCCGGTTGACCGTTAACAAGTCGTGGATAGTGCGCACGGCCGCTTCAGCGGTCGCCTTGGCCGACGCCGCGTTATTGCGGTCAGTGTCGCTGTGGCCGCTACTGTCGCTGCTGTCATCGGTATCACTATCAGTATTGTTGCTGCGCTTCTCCCGGTCCCGGTCGAGTGCGGCCGCTGAAAGCTTGTCCACCCGTCGCTCGGCGTTGTAGACGCGCAACCGGAGTTGAAAGTTGTCGGTCCGCAGCTGTTCCAATTCGTCGACGAGCTGCGTCGTGTTGTTTATCGTGGTTGCGATAACGTTGCTGTTGTTGTTGTACTCGTCGACAACTTCGTCACCGCAATCGTACGACCGACTGTGCCGGAAGCCCCGGTGCCGCATGGCGCCCGCACTCGTTGCCATCGAAAGTGGCGCAGCTGACGCGGACGGTGGCGATCGCAACACTCCGCTGGTAATGACAGTCCGACGGCATTCCATTTCACGACCACGTTTATTATCGGCTAACATTTAATAATAATTACGATTATAATAAATTACATTACACTTTTATGCAAATCATCAAAACAATTCGAATTGGAAATATAACTTACATAAACACAGATAGGTATATTATATATATAAAATATATTTAAACGATATCAAGTTGACGTTGTATAATGTACGACGTGGTTTTACAATAAAATCACGTATTATAGTTCGACGGATAGCGTCGAGCGGAAACGGAGGCGATAGTGGAAAAGAAACTACAACAAAAATCACTCGTTACAACGTTGTACTACCAACGCACAAAATACTAAATTAATGATGTAATTTGTAATAACATCATTAGCAGGAGCGGTGGTAATAAAACAGTAAAGACGCGCCCGTCCGCGTTCGAGTTCGACCTACGTTTATTATTAGTGCCTACGACGGCGGTGAGCCGACGTGTGCCCGGGAGCAGCCGACTCGCGGACGCGTTTATTTTCGTAGTGTGCTGTGCGTGGTGGCAGTGGCAGTAGTCGACGACAGAAATAGGTAGTTAAAATGTGTATTTAGATTATTACCGATAGCGAAGACCACGACGACGACCACAGATCACATAGTATGAAATGACAACGACAAGCTGCTAAACGTGCGATCCGCGTGCAGAACTTTGCTCTGCGCGGGCGGAGTCTAGGTGATAGATGCGATGCGGGCGATATGGCGGACGGCGATTACGACGAAATCGACAAAATACGATTTTATAATCATAATGTCAATAATTCATTAGTAATAAAATAAAATATTACAAAAAATGTGTGATATTGTGCGATGGTTGTTCACTGCAGCGTGTAATAATACTCGTGATACCTATTATTATCGACTAGATTACTATTATTTGTTCAGCCGTAAATTGTAATCGCGAGATTCCGTTTGAGATTATGATGTTTCATACATTTTTAAAACGTCAAGTATTAAAATAATTTTAACATTAATGCGACGATGGTAACACGCACACGCACGCTAAAGGCGCGCGTGTAAAACTAACGATTATACCGCATAAATGCACAATGTATGGCTATGATGATGATAATATTAATATAGTGGCGGCGGCAGCATCACCGGCCTCTGTAAGTACTACAGCACATGTGTGATCGTATAGTTCCGTACCGCCGAGTAAAGCGGTAGTGTAGCGCCAACAGTGCTGCGCTGGCGCGTATTGATAATATAATAATAATAATAATAATTATTATTATTATTATTATTATTTGAACTATATGCGCGTGCGTAAAAAGAAAAACATGAATTGCCTACCACTCACCTCCGACCTATCACGTCCCTATCTGTAAGTCCCGGACCGTGATCCGCAGCCGCACCCGTTCGACGAAACGACCTGCAGTCAACGAGGATAGAATAACAACGTCACTGACGTCGATCCCGGCATTAACTACCATTACACTTTACAAACAGTGAGAAAGTGAAATAATAATAATAATTAATAATCTTAAAAAACTAGCCAAAACGTAATTACTGCATTCATTGATATATTTAAAAACAAAATACATAGGCAATTTGAAAGTAATTATTGTTTATTTTATATCGATAATGTTGGTTATTACTTATTACTAAAATACATTTTATGGGAATAATGATTCTGTTTTGAAAACCCACTAAATTTGGTTTTTTGTTTTTAATTTGGAGAAAAATTGTCATTATATAGGTCCCATTAAACTCCATTTTTCATCATATTAATCTCAAAGTTAATTATATGACTATAAAAAAACGATGATAAGCTTTTTTTTACTTACGTGTGAAATGTACTTAAATACATAGAATATAATATAAAAAGCTGAATTAGACATAATAATTAAAACATATTAAGTAATATGTTTTGTATAATTGTGTATGCCTATAGGCTATAGCTCTGTAAGTACTCATAATTCATATTGTGTTTGATGCAATTAACGTTCAGATTGATTGTGTAAGTAGCGAAGTTATGCAAAATGTAAATAGTACAATATGTGCGAATATAATAGTAATAAACTTCAAGAGCATTTAAGTGTTCATATAATATGAGCATAATGAATATGTTCAACAATATTCATGTATAGAATGGTTTTTTATGTTAGTTATTGATCTATTATCAAATTTAAAGGATGTTAATCGCTTTAAAATTATAACATTAAAAAATTGAAACAAACTAATCTTAGTTTGATAATACTATAATAGGTCAATTGAATTCACTTTAAATTTAAATTTAATAAAACTTAACATAAATTGTTGAATAAAAATTTGTCAGTTATACTAGTATAGTTTATATAGTTAGGTATAAAACGGAAACAATTGTAAATGTGGATGTGGCGTTCTTTTATAACCGTTAATTATTAATACATAAGTCCTTGTTTAACGTCGCCTCATTTAGTGTTGTTTCGCTGTTGAGTTGTAGAAGTTTAAGTCCTTGTGTTTCGTTTAACACTACAACGGTTTTAGTAAAACGTTGTTTGTAATACATATGTTCATAACATTTTAGTTATATGCTTTTATATATATTTTATGTAAGTCATTATAATAATAGTAATTTAATTTCGTCGACTTTTTCAGATAATACTGTTATCGTTTTGATTGACATACCTACCATACGTAGGTACTATTTTAATTTATTTTAGGTAATATGTATTCCATAATCGTTTTTTATTTTTTAAAGAATAAATTGTAAATAGGTACATACGTTAATTTGATTATAAGTTTTCGTTAATTTTTAGTATAATATTAATTTAATATAATTTAATAAAAGTAATGAAATCGCGCAATTTTAATAAATAATATATATGTTGTTATTCATTGGCTCATGGCAGGAATCCGTTATAAATTATATTTAAGTGTATGTAAAAATTGTTTCGATTAACGTTTTTTCGGTTAAACTCGTGTTTTCTAGGAACCTAACCTCGACGTTAAACAAGAACTTATTTTAATACCTATTATATATATATATATTATAATTTATAACTAATTCGAACGAATTGTAAATCATTTAGTTTTTCTCTTTTATATTTCCATTTTGGTAAAATATTTAAATTATATAAATAATAGAAAATACACGTTCCAAAAATATAATTGTAGTTTACACAAAATATTTGAAATTCACTATATAGGTAGTATATAGGATATATTAATATACCTATATAATATATTATATTATTCAAATTTATTTTATTATCAAAATTTGTTTTTTGACGTTACTTTATAAATCAAATTTTAATAAGAACGCCACTTGACCAAAGTTTCTGATGACCAGATGGGGCCATATTAGTGTAATATATTAATTATTTTATATATAAAATATAATAGAGTAACGGTAAATAGCAAATAATAATATAAACATAACTATACTTGATTGAAAGATTAACTGCAGAAAAGTCTGTATCATTATTTCGGAAGTGTTTGAATTGGAGAAATATTTCAAGTTTTATTTATGTTTGTCGAAATTCATTAGATTTTAAAGGTAATGTTTCGAAATTCTAAGTTAAATGAATAAAAATAGAGTAGTATACAATAAAAAACGTGGGTTACTTAGTTACGTTATGAGTTGTGTATGATAATAGACAAATAATAGGAATAATAGTAATAATAATAATTTTATTGTGTATTTATTGTGAAATTTTCAATAAAGATTTTACCTTGAATGGACAAAGATTCCAGTACCCAATTAAAAAAAAATTAGTTAAAGTTCGTGAGAAAAGCTTGTTAAAAAAAAAAAAAATGTAAAAATAAAATTATTTAAATACAATATATTAAATTTATAAATCTAATATTATGCATAAATGATTTTTTATAAATGTATAGCTAATAAGTAATAACTAATAGAAAAGTGATTTTAATCATTGACATAAAAAATTTCGTCGCAATTCCATATCACGTATCATAATAATAGGTATAACAGTAGTAAGTAATAGTTTTTTAGTACGGCGATATGAACACATTAATAACATATAACAGGAATATACGTGTTATTTCAGGTTCAAAAAGATTTATACTTAAAATAATTTGTTTTTTCTTTGAATAACCAATTAATGAATCTAGTCAAACTTGGCCAGTCATATTTTATTTTAATTATTTTTAAGTTTTTTTTTTGTGAAAATATTTATGCGTTAAAGTTATTTACGTAAGAATAGCAATGTGTACATTTTCTAGACTAAGAAAAATAAATTACTCATAGTTATATAAATACATTTTAAGATATTCTCAGAAAAAGAAATGAGTAGATACATGACTCACTACCTCTGTTCAAAATCGTTCTTTGTATACAATAATGTATTATTTAATTCAAATTATCTTAACAATTAGAGTTATCAATTAATTGAATACAAAACTAAATATCGTAAAAGTACAGGAGTCCAAAATATGCCTTATTTTTACTTTATATTTTATAGTATGCTATAATATACTACTCAATAACTATAGGTACCTGTAATTGACCTTTGATAATTTATTATGATAGTTATGGTTATCTGCTCTCTATAATAAGGTTCTCTTTTGTAATTAACAGGAATTCATTCTACTTGCAGAGTACGCGATCATTTGAATTTTGAGTTGTCAATCGTAGAGATTCGCAATATATGAAAAAAAATATACAATTAGTTTTCAATTAGTTGAATAATAAATTATAAATACTTAAGTATACTTATAGTATGTATACATGGTGTTTAATGTCTATTTATTTTTAACTTTTTACTAAGTTATAATTTCCTAATTTTTGTAGAATTAAGACAATTTGTTTGCTCTATAGGCTGTAGTTACTAGTCAGATGTACTAAGTTTAACACATATAATACTTATTAAGCCTTTTTGAATATCTTGCATAATTGTAGCTTGGTTCTTGCCCCTAATTAGTATATAATACTTTTGAATTGGTATTTATTCAAGTTATTGTTATCGTGTAATTTCTACTTAATACGACTTAGTTAATAGTTTCTGCATTATTTGACCCTTTAGGTCAGAATTTAAGACTATAAAGGTTAACTATTCATATAATATATAAATATAAATTCATAATTAACTTATGTATAAACATAATATGGTGTACCTATATTGCATAATTTATGAACATGTAGCTTGCTATAGTTATTGACTAAATTGTTTTTGTTTATGTACATATATTAATAATTTAATTAATATACTTATAAAAGTTAATACTAATTTAAATAATTTAATGTTCTATAATAGTTTACTAATAATTAATGTTGTATAGATTCTATAATAGACTCTATTGCACTCGATTGAAGCGGTTTTTAAACTGTAGTCCGCGGCCCTCTAAGGGGCTGTTGATACTCATATAAAAGGTGCGCAGTGGACTAATATCATTGAAAGAAGACAGCCTTGTAGAAATGTCTATAAGTAATAATTTAAAAATAAAATTTAATCAAAAGTGTTAGAAAATTATTGGTTATGTGTTCGAAAAAATTATCCAAAATTATCGAGTAAAGCTCTGAAAGGTTTACTGCTATTCCCCATAACCTATTCATGTGAAAAAAACCTTCTCCGTTCTTATTTATATTAAGAATAAATTTTAAAACCGAATAGAAAATGTAGAATCCTAATTACAATAAAAGTTTTCTAGTATTGAGCTCGATGTTCAAAAAATAAAGTTTCAAATGTAACATCTATCGGCCATCGCATTAAAAAAGTAAAAATAAAATATTACATTTTAATAAAAATTAAGTGTAACAAAAATAATTATAAATGTGTATTGTGTATGTTGTTATTATGTACCTACTAACATAATATGTGATTTGCAATATAAAATAATAATTATAACATTGATTATAATAACATGAGATATTTTGTAAAAAAAAAAAAGATTAAGTTAGGTTAGAAATAAAATTAGTTGGAAGTCCACGATTTCTAAAAATCTTTCATCGGCGATCTGTGTTTTACAAAAATTAAAAACCACTGATGTATTGATTACAGCATCTGAATACTATCTGGTCTCAGTTATTACGTACTAGTTATTATTAGTGATAAACATACATTTATAAGATACAAACAGAAGCAAAATATGTAAAAAAAAACTCGGTTCTTGAAAACTATTTTATCAGCTCTCGAATTTGTTTTGTCAATTTATATTTAAATTG